TAGATCCTGGATGAGGCCTGGAAATCTTCACTGTTCATATCACATCAGGCTATGGTAGCAGGAGGTGAGGACACACTGAGAAATACTGGTTAAGGCAGTAGTTCTCCACTTCGGCTGTGCACTAGAATCATCTGGGGAGCTTTTAAAATGTTCAGGCGCCCAGGCTGAAGCTGAGACCAATTAAATCAGAACTGCTGTGTGTGGGAAGAGCTAAGCATCAGAATTTTTAATGACCCCAGGCGATTCCAATATGAAGCAAAGGCTTTGGGATCAGCAGGGCTGGGTTGTATTGACCTTGGGCAAGTTACTGACCTCTGAGCCTCAGGTTTTTCAACTGAAAATGGGAATAAAACAACTACTTCATTGTTCGATTATGTTGAGACAGTTCTATACAGAGCCTGGCACAGCGCTCAGACCTCCCTTTCTGTTGAGTGGCATTGGGAGCTGGGGGGCGGTGGGGGGCATCATACACCCCTGTGAGATGCAGGCCGTCTCAGCAGCCCCAGGCCATTCAGAGTGCTTTGGCCCTCAGGACTCAGGGCTGCCTGCATCTTGCTGCGCTGGTCCCAGCAAGTTTATGGATCCATCTCTGAGCATGGCCCACAGTGAGCCAGCTTCTCCGCATGGGGCAGGGCAGGCCATTCATGCCAACAACTCTTTTAATGTACTTATTCCAAATACTAGTCAGTTAAAAAAATCAGTAACGATTAAACTAAAGAGGCAAATCAGTAGTGTGAATTACTTTTGTTGATAATCAATTGCCGATATATAGTATGTTACCTCATTTATGGGTTAAATTTTTGTCTAAAGTGTGGCAACCTGGAAATATGGCCTCCATTTATAGTGTTATTTCCATGAGATTAAAAGTCTAAACATTCAGCTTAGAAATGCCCTTTGGGGACACGGGGTAGAGGATGTGAGAGTGTGAGTGTACCTGGTGTGTGTGTGTGTGTGTGTGCGGCTATGTGTTTTGAGTATGTGAGTGTACATGAGTGTGAGTGTGTAAGTATGGGTGAATGTGTGTGAATCTGTATGTGAGTGTGTTTGTGTATTTGAGCACATGTGTGTGACTGTGTAAGGAAGGCTGGGAGTTGTCAAGAATGAGGTTTCTAATTCTCATCAGCCTCTAGGTTGCTTCACTTTATCCTCCTCTAAGCCTTAGGTAAACTTAAGACAACTCAGGTTAAGGCCTTCTATTACTGTCAAAAGCTATTTTGAAGCAATTCAAGTGCTCTGTTTCTATTCTTCTGGGAAATCCTTGCAGTCTTGGAAATCACAGCAACATTCTATGATCTCATCTGTTTCTTTGTAAGATGGCCTTCTCAACAAAGTGATCTTGTCTCTTCTGATTCCACAAGGGGCAGTAGGCGAGGGGAGAGGGACCAGAGAAAGGCTGTGAACAGCCTGCCACGTTCCAGGTTCTGTGTTATTTTACTCTTTTTACTATAGGGCCCTGGGGGCTGATCTCTATTTTCCTCCCTTTCTGCTCTTCTTTTGTTTCTGTCTTGAGCCTTGATAGGACTTTCCTGGTGTTGGGTGACAGGCTGTTTCTGTCTGAGGCTTGGTGTAACCTAATAGTAATCCACTGCCCTGTGCCCTGTCAGGGTGAAGGTCTCCTTGATGCAGAAAAATGCCTTAGCCTTTAGCTTGGTTTTCCACACCCAGGTCACAGAGCAAAGTGCTCCAGTTTCTGAAAGGGGAGAAAATATTCTGCAAGATTGCCACAATTCTTTAATTTTGGGGGGCATAATTTCAAATTTGGTTTGCCTAACCTTTGTTTAAGCATTTCCTGTTTTGGTATGAGATTCTTAACTGGTCAGGACTTCCAACTAATGTAAAAATCTCTAGGCACACAGAAAGCTTTACAAGGTCGATTTTTCAATCATGAGACTGAACATGGTCACTGACATCACAATCATCCTGATTATTTCTGGGCATCCTTGGGAAGGGGGTGGGGGTGCATTCTCTCTCCTTCCCTGCCCCACAGCCTGTTGGTGGCAGAGACAGTTTGCTCCAGTGCCAGCAGAAACCAGAGGATGAGTCGATGATCTGGGGAGGCATAGAATAAAGAGGGGGGAGGACAGGGAATAATTTTGGGAGGTGCGATTGGTCTGAGGAAGAAAACTTTTATAGTTAAATGTGTCGTTTTTTTATCTATTACCAAAATTACATAGAAATAGTTACATTTAGAGTTTATGTTTCAATGCAACAGCTCTTTCACATAATTCAGAGTTGTTTCTATTTTGCCAAACCTGGCTTCCCTAGGTTACCTTACCCAGAATATAATTTTGGTAACAAACAATCATTAACTGATAAGCTAAATTCTCAGAAACACTTAAAGATTTCTTTTGAGTTTATATAGGTAATGTAAGTATTTTGAAAACACTTTACTGGAATTACCAATATGCTGCTTCTCTTGCTTTTCTTACAAAAATATAAGGAGTGGGACATATGCCAGAAGAGTATGTGTATTTCACACAGGGAAAAGGCTTTGCACCTTCAACCCATCCAGGGGACATGGACAGAGAAACTCCAATCTTAGAGGTTTTTGTTAATGCAATGGCAGTGTTTCAACAGTGGGATCACCTGAAAGTGTCTCCCTCACAGAAGGGGTGAAGAACATCTCATTCCCCAAGGTGCCATTGTTTTATATCTTCCTAGAGGCACAAACTATCTACACCGACTTTCAAGATGCTTTAAAGCAGATTACACGTGAACGCATGGGGTTTCAAAGCACTTGAGGCACTTCTCTTTTCATTGTATCACCATCTCCTAGGATTTGGGTACTCTTGGGGATTGGCTGGGAGAAGTCGGTAGGGAATCTCAGAACTGGTCTGGAAAGTCAGAAGAAGGCTGTTAAGTGGGACCCAACGGTCTCTCTGGAGTTGTCCTTTTTAAAACTAGTTCCCTAGTGCAGATGTACCTGAGTTTCTCAAAATGGGAGCCATAAACATCCAAAGTTTGTGGCCATCTGCCAGGGGCCCCACTGCCCTGCCGACTTCCTCCTTCTGCTATTTCTCTTTCTTTGAGAGTCTCTGTCTGCCCACAGGCACAGCCCAGACCTCTTCTTTGAGCCTTGTCATTTGGGGAGGTTTAAACTTTAGCAGATGGCGATGTGAGTTCAGGGGAGCTGGCTTGCAGGTCAGAATCCCTGCCGAGCATTGAAGGCCAAAACCACTAAATCAAATACACAAGAAAGTTTCAGTGCCGGCCTGGATGTCTAGGGTGTGCTTTCTTACATCGTCCTCTCCTTTAATGATATCAAGAACAAATGAGGGCAGAAGGAGCCTGAAGAGAGCAGCAGGGCATTGTGAGCAAATCCGTTTGGAACTATTTGTAAACTACTTTTGGCATTTCTTGTTCCCTATTGTTAAAAACAAGACAACAGGCCCACTATGCAGTCGCTTACATTAAACCCCATATCACCAAATCAAGACTTAACTTAATTACAGTTTTGGCTCTCCCAGAAATGGAATCTTAATCCAGTCAATCAGGAATCACCTGATCAGCCCTAGTTAAGTAATATTCCTGATAAACAACTGTCTTCCCCTAAAGGAAAGTAACCTTGCAATAACCAAATCACCGCTTAGCTAGTACACCTTCCTTGTTGGCGCTGCTCTCTGCCTGTCAAACTCCTTCACCTGGTGCCACTCCCTGGAGCCCTTCCTGACTGCTGGGTGGGATGCTGCCTGATTTGTGAACTTCTGAACAAGCCAATAAAAGCTTCAAAATGTACTCAGTTGAATTCTTTTAGCACTATATGTACGTGGTTTTCTGAATCCTTTGAACTGGTTAAAATATCGTAGCTGCCGCTTCATTAAGGCTTCAATAAAAGCTTTGATGGTGGTGTCAATTTATATTTGCATGAAGCATGCTTTTTACCTTTCAAAAATATCTTTTAACATAGCTATATAATATGTAAGTACTTTTCTAGATGCTTTATGTGTTTATTTAACAAACACACAGAACATATTTATAGATGCCATGTGCTATTTTAAATGCTTTGTAAGTATTCAGTCCTCCTAATAGCCCTATTTCAGTTAAACTCCCCTTCAGCCCTTATTAGCCCATCTTATCAAACCAAGGCTCAGAATACTGTCCAAGGTTGTGTCACAATCAAGTGTCGGGGCCAGGAGCCCAGGTGCAGGCCTATGTGAGGCACTGGTCTTCCCGGGACACTGGGGCTCTCTGTAAGTGAGGGGGGTGGGAGACAAGGAAGGGACCCCAACTTTGTTTTGCAGGAAGCTGCATCTTTAAAGAGCGGAGATTGTGTTGACAGAAGGGAGAGTCTGTGCTGAATGTAGTCTACAGAAGAAATCCACAGCCTGACAGAGCACTGCACCCTGCCCGGTGATACGGGGCATCGCTCTCACAATGGAGAGGAAGTCACTAGCGTGGAGACAGTGTGTGTGTGTGTGTCTTACTACAGGTCACTTTAAAATACTGATCTGCTGTCTCCTTTCTCAGAACATATATCCTTGTTTTTTTTTCTTTTTATATTTATGGTCACTGTTCATGGGAGAATAAAGGTGACACTGGGAGGCAGCATGATACAGGCGATAGGGCACAGTTGGAATTTGTTGAACTTTGATTCAAATGCCAAGTCTGCCATTCACTGGGGAATAAAATTATAACTGTTTTAAATCAGCATTAAATCTCCACAGAATTACATAAATGCTTCCATCTCCTCACTTTTTCCACAAGAGGTGAGAATGGTCTCAGCAAGACCTTGGAGTTGAGGAGGGGATCCAAGGGGTGCAGAGGCTGGAGGAGGGGAGGAGAATTGTTCCCAAATGGGCTGAGAAGATGTGGCAACTGCAGGTGCTTTGGGATCAGGCCTGCCAATGGCTCAGCTGCAGCCCCAAGGCTGGCGATGGGAGAGGCTTAGGGCCAAGTTCAGGACGCACCTCTCCAACCAGATAAAGATCTGTTGCTGGCAGCCCCAGGTCGCCTGCCTTCCTGATTCCTGTTCCAGAGCAAAGGTCACTCAGCTACTTGAATCCTTTTTTTTTTTCCTTCCCCTGCTTTGTTTACCATATAAGGAAGGCCAGCACTGCAAAGTGGAAAATACCTCTGTTATCTTCCTCTCCATTTCAACAAACAGTTCTGTGAACCTGAACATTCTGTGAAAGATGGCTGGGAATGCAATCTTGCTGGCTGCTGTCTCTGTCCTCTCTGCCTGTCAGCAAAGTAAGAGTTCGCCACAGTGTGTGTGTGTGTGTGTGTATGTGGCAGAGGGAGGGGGGTCTGGGGTTGGGGTTCATACTTGCTTCCAGGTAGCCCCAAGCACTCCGCAGAGCCGTCTACTGAGGGGCACAGTGTCTCCTTCCCTGGGGACAGATGGAGAACTGGAACATTCCGGGGATTAGTTCTTCCAAAGGGGATGCGGTGAGCCCTCCGAGTCCAGGGGCATCATCTGTAGCTACCACCCACAGCCCAGTTCAAATGAGTAGGGGCCGGGCGCTCACCTGGGGGAAGTGGGCTGTAAATATTAATTAGGAGAGTTCCAAAAGTGACAGTGTACCTGCTTGTAAACCATGGCTGTTTTCTTGAAACTTGGTCTTTTAATTAATGTTTTTAAAATAAACTGCCTGTGGCAGTTGTGATTATCAGGTTAAAAAAAATCTGCAGAAATATGAGCTTCAGATTAAGTGATTAATTCTAAATTTTAAAGCAACTTCCCACTTGGATTAGTCAATGCCCCAATTGCCTGGGTAAACAGAGTGCTTTCCTCCACAGGGGTCACATTTGAATGCCAACTTAGCATGCTAAATGAGGAAAAGTGTCTGATTCCCACCATGGTGAGCAAGGCTTCTTAACAGCTAACATATCATTTTACCAAGTGTGCTTCTAGCAGGAAGCAGAGCAGAGCTGTGTGCTGTTCATGGCACACAGGCAGCCAGAAATGTGAAGGCAGCCCGGCTTGGGATAAAGGCCAGGCCTGCATGCACACTTGGGGTGTCTTGCCTAGCAGGTCTGTTTTGTGAACTTATGATAGTATTATACCATAAGACACACATTTTGTGGTTTGATTCACAGTCTTTTCTGGGGTGCAGCAAGGTGCTCACTGCCAGCTAAAGCAATGAGTAGATCTGAAGCATGCCCTGTGCCCACCCTGTGGTTCACATCCACCTACACACAGGCACCACCAGACCCAGCATGCCAGAAAGCATGGCGGAGCTCCACAGATGCCTGCAGGCTGACAGAGGCTCTGTCATCCTCACAGAAACACTTCTGTCTGCTGGTGGGTGTAGGGGACAGTGTGAACTGCAACTGGGTGATGCGGTGGGTGGGAGTGGGCAGAGAGGAGAGGAAACTGGGCTGATGGCAGTTGATAGTATTAAAAAACAAAATTTGATGAGTACATTTTAAAGATCTTATTGGCTTTACCCAGCAATTCATGAATCAGGCAGTATCCCATCTAGCAGATAGAAAGTAGCTCCAAAAGGCTATACAAAAGGAAAGACTTTTACAGGCAGAAGCGAGCAGGAACAAAGCTGTTATTGCAGAGTGGGTGGTTTGCGCCAAGGTCGCCTTCCTTCAGGGGAAGGCAGGGGTCCATCAGGTGGGCCACATCACTAGTGTTGACCAGGTAATTCCAGACTGACTGGTTTAAGATTCCACTCCTGGGAGAGTTTGACGCTGTATGTAAAGCAGGTATTAAGTCTTAGTTTGATGATGTGGGCTTAGCCCAGGAGACTGCATTTTGGGCCAGTTGTCTCTTCTTTAACAGTGGTGGACAGGAAATGTTTGCTGATTGGGTAGGAGAGAAAGAGAGAAGACACAATTGTCTAGTTGGCATTAAGAGCCAGAATTTGCTGCTTCTGCCAAGGTTTGGTGTTTATGGAGATGGCACTCTATGTGCCATGGTAGAAACAGCTCAGGTTTGGAAGAGAGAGTATCTGGTGTCTGTCCAATCTAGCCACTTAACAGCTGGGTGCCCCTGGCTAGCACATTCTGTCCTTCAGTCTTTACCTAAGAGGGTTCAACAGGACACTGGATGAGAAGTGCCCACCAGGTGCCAGGCCCAGGGTTGGAGCTCAGCACAGTCAGTTCCTGTCCCTGGTTGCTTCCCCACAGAGAAGCTTCTCCTGGCTTGAGAAGTAGCCACATGGTGAAGAAGCCCAGCTGTGGCAGGGGGCCATCTTGATGGAGGTGTACACATAGCCAGCCCTCTGGAGAAAGCAAGGGAGAGAGGAAAGACAAGCAAAGCAAAAGGAGAGTATCACCAAGTAGTTTTTAAAGCATCTCATCAGAAGGAAATACAATCAGAGGTCTCTAGGAACAGTGGTGATATACTGTTTCCACCCTCATCCTGTTGCCCCAGTGCTTGCCATGCTCTCTAAGGCCCCTGACCTGAGAGAACAGAAGGTGCATATAAGCTTGGGAAGGAGCTAGTCCATCTGAATCCTCCTTCCTGGGGCTGAGGGCAGGCAGGGTGGGAAGTATTCCATCACCTCTGCCATTTTTTTGAGATCCTTCCTCACATTTGCTGCTGTTACAAATAGGTGCTGACCAGGTGCTCCCAATAGCCTCAGAAAGACAGTGCTTTCAAAGCTTTAGCTTATTCACAGCTTCATCCTGAAATTTAGGTTCTCGCACCATTGCCAATGTATACATCTAGGAGCACACATCTTCCACTATTTCCAGCTTACAGGGACTAAGAAGCCTTCCCAAGTTTTTTTCTCCAAGGCTGTGGAGAAAGTTGGAAGCAATGGTAACAGCAGAGTCCAGAATAGCGAAGTCCTAATTCTCCCCTCCATAGACAGATCTCCTTTTTGGCTCCCACAGGGCCCATGAGCCATTGGCCTCTCCAGATTTATGCTGCCTGAAAGGCTTTAGCCCATGGTTGGAAACAATTGGTGCCTGATCCCACATGTTTCTTATCGTTACTCCAGTCTCTCAGTCTTCTGGGATAAAACTACCATTTGAATAGGAAAGACTCCAGTCCAAAGTGTTTCCATGCTACAGATGTTCAGCTACAGCCATTCTGTCCTAAACCACAGTAGCAGAGGGGAAGGAAGGGAAGGAAGGTCTGCTGGGAAAGCCCTTACCAAACCTGCTTTAGTATTTACCTGCTCCTTATGAGGGGAGATAGTATTAAGTTTTAAGAGGAAACACATTACCCCTCATATTGTAACACAAGGAGAGACTGAAGCTACAAGATTGGTGTGGAAAAGGAAACTGTTTTTAAAACAGTAGTAAGTGGAGAATGGATATTGAGATATTAAAATAAGTTAGACCAGAATAGTGTTGGAGAAAACCTGTAAGGAACTGAAACTGAAAGAAATAATTTGAAGGGAAATACTAGACCCCAGATGTTAATTATGGGGTAAAAAGAGGGAGATAAGGAGAGGGTGGAGCCAAGATGGCGGCATGAGTAGAGCAGTGGAAATCTACTCCCAAAACCACATATACTTTTGAAAATACAACAAAGACAACTCTTCCTAAAAGAGAGACCAGAAGACACAGGACAACATCCAGACCACATCCACACATGCGAGAACCCAGTGCATCACAAAGGGGATAAGATACAAGCTGCAGCACAGTGGGACCTGAGCACCCCTTCAGCCCAGCTCCTGGCGGGAGGAGAGGAGTCGGAGCAGGGAGGGAGAGGGAGCCCAGGACTGCTAAACACCCAGCCCCAGCTATCCACATCAGAGTGCAGACACAGTGCATGCGTGGGGTCCTGGATATTAGGGAAACAGGATACTAAGACCTGTGAGTGGGTCCCCACAGCCGTCGCCCTGGGGACAAAGAAAAGCGAGTGCTTTTTGGAAGTCTTAAAGGGACAGGGACCCCACTGCCAGATGGAAGCGGCCTGGGACACTTAGTCCAGCAGCAGGGAATCTGGGAAACACTAGGCACTCTAACCCCCTGGGAAGCAGGGAGCATGAAGCCCTGCATGGAGATAAATAGCCTCCTGGCCATGCCCCCTCCAATGCAGCTCCACCATATCAGAGCGGCAGCCTGAGCCAGGCTACGCCCACAGCAACAGCAGAGATAAACTCCATAGAGGCCGGGCAAGAATCAGAAGCTCCATCTGCGTGCAGCTTCCCAGCACAAGCCACTAGAGGTCACTGTTCTCCCAGGAGAGAAAGGCCACAAACCAACAAGAAGGGAAGTTCTTCCAGCCATCACTCGTGCCAGCTCTGCAAACTATCTCAATCGCCATGAAAAGGCAAAATTTCAGGCAGACCAAGATAACAGAGACAACACCTGAGAAGGAGACAGACCTAACCAGTCTTCCTGAAAAAGAATTCAAAATAAAAATCCGAAACATGCTGACAGAGATGCAGAGAAATATACAAGAGCTAAGGGATGAAGTCCAGAGGGAGATTACGGATGTCTGGAGGAAGATTACAGATGTCCGGAAGGATATTACAGAAGTGAAACAAACTCTGGAAGGATTTATAAGCAGAATGGATAAGATGCAAGAGGCCATTGATGGAATAGAAACCAGAGAACAGGAATGCATAGAAGCTCACACAGAGAGAGATAAAAGGATCTCCAGTAATGAAACAATATTAAGAAAACTGTGTGACCAATCCAAAAGGAACAATATCCGTATTATAGGGGTATCAGAAGAAGAAGAGAGAGAAAAAGGGATAGAAAGTGTCTTTGAAGAAATAATTTCTGACAACTTACCCAATCTGGGGGAGGAAATAATCTAACAGACCATGGAAACACACAGAACTCCCAACAGAAAGGACCCAAGGAGGACAACACCAAGACACATAATAATTAAAATGGCAAAGATCAAGGACAAGGAAAGAGTCTTAATGGCAGCTAGAGAGAAAAAGGTCACCTATAAAGGAAAACCCATCAGGCTATCATCAGACTTCTCTACAGAAACCTTACAGGCCAGAAGAGAATGGCATGATATATTTAATGCAATGAAACAGAAGGGCCTTGAAC